GATGGGTGAAGGGAGACGCCAGGCAGTGTAAGATAAGATAAAATAAAAATTTATAAATTATTAAGGGTTCATGAGGGAGGGGGAAGCGGGAAGTGAGGGGGAGGGGAAAAAGGAAAATGAGGAGCTGATTCCAGGAACCCAAGCAGAAGCAAATTTTGAGAATGATGAGGGCAACGGATGTATAAGTGTGCTTTACACAATTGATGTATGAATGGATTGTGATAAGAGTTGTATGGGCCCCAATAAAACGATTTAAAAATGTTTTCAACACAAGGAATACATATGCATTTGAGAGTAATCTTGAATAATCAGCAAAATTTAGAGAGTGTATATTGACCATTTATTCTTGGCTTAGAACTCTTGACAAATGCTTTTGAGCATTTCAATAAAAGCTTAAAATTCAGTTTATACACTTCAGAATTTGGCAAAGTGTTTCTAACAGGGCTCTAATTTTTCTTAAATGGGGAAAATTTAAAAGGCATAATTTTATGTTCCATGAGGATCAAAAGTCATCATGACATTATTATTATCTGAAATACGAGTAAGAGATGTCTGGCAGCACGATTCCTATAAGCTTAGTCTTTGCTTCTCAGTTAAATTTTGCAGATGTTGAAAACAGAATATTAATAAAAAATAATAAAAGGATTGACAAACTTCCATGCTTTGCTTTATAAATTTTGATTAAAAAGAGTTTATTTCATGTTAGATCAATTCAATGTTGTTTAGGAAGACCTACTTGGCTTTCTATTTCCAATTAAGCTATAAAGTGGAATGCTAGCAAATGGCTTTTTTTCCTCATTTAATTTGTGCAACATCATTTTGGATAAAAGATTTAATCTCCTTATGTCAGCATTCTTTCACATCGAAAGGAGATTGTGATAAAGGGAAAGATTTCCTATTTACTCATTCCCTTTCCCCTGAGAATTAACCAGATAATTCCCCTTTCTGCTCCCTGTGTATGTGGTCGTCTGGTGTTGTACCTGCCTGCTCACTGTAGGCCCAGCCTTTCTGCACATTCATCTTTCCTCTTAAGCATATACCTTTTCATGAACACCTGTTAATTTACCGGGGAAAGCACTCTGTAAACCACCAGAATGAGCAAATTCAGCTGTATTAGTTTCCTAACCACTAACTGGGTGGGTAAAAACCAAACAGAAATGTATTATTATCTCACAGTTCTGGAGCCTGCAAGTCTGGAAACAGGGTATTGGCCACGTTGATTCCTTCTAAAACTACAGGAAATTCACTCTCATGCCTTTCTCCTAGTTTCCCCTGACAGTTGGTGACCTTTGACTTGTAAATGCATCCCCCTGAGTCTCAATGCCAGCATGACATGTCCTGTGCTTCTTTTCTTCTTTTGTAAGGACACCACTTAGAGTAGCACAGACGCTACCCTAATATGACCTCTTACTAAGTGATAACACCTTCAACTCCACATTTCAAAGAAAGTCATGGTCACAGGTACTGACAGTCAAGACAGCTACATATTATTTTGGGGGACACAATTAGTCCAAAACAATGATGGCATCATTTTTCAATCATAGAGAGAGATTGTTGGGGTAATGTTCTAACCCTTGTATAGATGAAAGGTTTAGATCAATGCCTCCTGCAGTGTGATTTCTTTATTCCCATGTGAGACGACAACATGAGACATTAGATGTGGGGGGGGGGCTTTGAGTTTACAAGTT